TTTTTTGGAAACAGAGTCTTACTTTGTCACCCTCAGTAGAATGCTGTGGAGTCACAGCTCACAACAACCTCAAACTCTTGGGCTTAAGCGACTGTCTTGCCTCAGCCTCCAGAGTACCTGGGACTACAGGAGCCTGCCACAATGCCGCCTTTTGTTGTTGTTGTTGCTGTTGTTGCAGTTGTCATTGCCATTTTAGCTGGCTGGGGCTGGGTTTGAACCCGTCACCCTTGGTATATGGGGCTGGTGCCCCACCCACTGAGCCACAGCCTCTGCCTAATTAAGAATATATTTAATGAATTGAAGTAAGCCAATCTCAAACCATGAAATATTATAAATTAAGACTTTCTCAGAAATGTTTTGAATGGTTAATTTTTTAACTGCACAGCAACATACCCTGCTAAACGGCCACACACATCTCCTCGCCTCCCTTGCAACTGATGAGATACAAGCATAAATCATTACGTACAGCTTGTTAGAGGGAGAAAATTGCCTGCAGGGAGCTTTCTTGCTAGAAAGTGTTATGTTAACTCACAACCCCTCTTCCTCAACTTCCCCTGCCAGCCTGGAACCCTGATATGATCACTGGAACTCCAGTTGCTGTTAACTTGGAACCTAAAATGACCATCAGTCAATTTAAGAGAAACCACAGACTATGGACGGATGATGGAGAAAAAGGATACATGAGCCCTCAGGTCACAAATAACTGCACAGAGCTGCCACCCTACCCTTACGCAGCCTGGATCAGTATTTCTTTTACATGAGAGAAAAGCAAACATCTTCTTTGCTTAAGACATTTATTTGAGTCTTCATGATATATACAACTGAATGCAATTCACAACTGATAAACACAGTTGAAAAAAGAACAATATATAACCAATGTTAACCATAAACACCAAGGTTAAGCACATTTTCACACCATATACAGTATTTTAAGAGTACTAGTCAAAACAATAACTTACTAAATGTTAAGGGAAACGGCTTGTAACTTTAGTTTAAACACCTGATTGCTTTCCCAGACTCATATTCTACATTTTTACCCTACCGTAGTTAAAAATGGCACCACAGACTGAACACATGTGGAACAGTGGGTCTTTCAAAGTAACCCAACAGCAATTTTTTGGAAATGGTTAAAAAAAACCTTTACCTACACACAAAACAAAATGAGAAGATAATCAAAATAGTTCATGACTATGAAATCAGCTAAGCATATAAAGGAGAACAAAATTTGAAGACACACATTTCCTGATTTCAAAACTCACTATAAAGCTATAGTAACCAAAACAGTATTAATGGCTTATGGACAGATACACAGACCAACAGAATAGAACTGAGTCCAGAAATAAATCCATTCAGGGATGTCCAACCTGTGGCCCACGGACCTTAGGCTGATTTTGTAAGGACATTTTTTGCTTATCTGTGGCATCAGATATCAGAAAAAATATGCACACACCGTTATTTTTTTGTTGTTGTTGTCGTTTATTTGTTTGGGGTTTTTTTGCTAATCAACTTTCATTAGTGTTTGTATATTTACTGCTTCTTTTCTTCTTTTTCCAATGTATGGCAAAGAAAAAAAAATTGGACACCCCTGAATTAAGTCCAATTGATTTTTTTAACTTACCTGGAAGGTAATTTTTAAAAATCTGTGGACTTCCAGCTCAATGTTGTAGCAGACAACATGGAAGTCCATTTTTAAAAGAGCTGGAATTAACAGAAACTAGAAATTATCTTCCTTAGGGAGATATATGTGGTTGAACACCCAGGTGGAAACTATCCAGAAGTTAGGAATAAAAGCTTCTACAAGTGAATCCTTTTGGTAGAACGCTGAGACACAGCCAACTACTGTGATAAGGTAGTTCTTTAGAGAAACACACTTGTATTACACACAGAGACAATAAAAGCTGCCCACTGCCCACAAATGCTCTCACTCCACAGATGAGATACACCTTCCTTATGTAAGCTAAGATTTAAGTTTTCCATCAAAAGCCTTTCAACCTGCAGTCTTTTAGCACATACATCACCCAGACTTCTGTTAAGTACAGCAACTGAAGAACACAAGATAAACCCCAAAACGCCAATATTCAAATGGAATTTCTGCCAGATCCCAAGTGTCCATCCCAAAACTGTGTGATTTTAAAACATCATTCCATTTTTTCTAGTGCCAACTTACATAAATAAACATACACGATAACTAATCATCTCATTACTCCTCTGAGAAGGACTTATGTTTGGAGAAACAGAGGTTCAAAATGATAAGGTGAGCTGTCTCAGGTCATCTGCAAATCAGCAAGCATCAGGAATGGAACTTAAATTCTCTTGTCCTCCAGACCTCTAAGCATTGCAAATAAAAGGCCACTTCTGTATCCAACCACTAGCTAACGTGCCTTCCAGCAATAAAAGAAAGATTACTCTCCTCATAGAGACCAAGAACGCAGTGCCTGGAAATCTAGTGTCATTTCTTCATCTTGAGGTCTGAGTTTGGTAGGCTCCCCAGCATGATCCAAGAATCTATCTGGCAAACCAATGCTTTCCCTCCCTTGTTCTCTTCATTAAAGAACACATCTTACCCTGCAAGAGCTAAACTTTACCGAGACTCCACATGGCTATGAAAGCCTCAAAAAGGAAGCACAGTGGCCACAACAATGCTGCCCAATAAAGGGCTGGCAGGAAAACAGCAGAGGAGGGAAAAGCAAAGTGGTTCTCTCAAGGTTTGTAAGTAGACCGGTGGAAACTCCAAAGAAGACAAACTCACTTCCACCTGAGGGGTAAAGGAAATGTTATCAGCAAGGATGGGCAATATGTGCAATAAATATTTGCTGGGAGCCTATCACATGCTCCTCCAGGAGTTAAGAATATAGCTGTGAAAAAGATGCCCCAGAAGAGGGCAAGACATTCCCAGCACAGGAAGCAGCAAGTGACAAGGATGTCTAATTTTAGGAGGCAGAGTGCTGCAAAGATGGGAAGACACTTCTTGAAGCTGTAATGTGGAAGGCTGGGGTATGATGTTCTGAGAGTAGCTTTGAAGTCAGATGTCAGCTTCAATCCTTCCTCTACCACTTAGCTAGTTCTGAGCTGAACTTCTGAGTCATCTGTAAAATAGAAAGTGCCTCACAGAGTTGTGACAAGTGAATGAGGTAATGCATGTAAAGCACGTTACTAGTGTCTGGGCTAGGAAGTGCTCTATAACTGAGAACTCTTTATTTACTTTCTTAGAGACAGATTCTCGCTGTACCCCCAGAGTGGAATGCAGTAGCATGATCATAGCTCACTGTAGCCTCACACTCCTCGGCTCAAGCAATCCCCACCTCAGCCTCCTAAGTAGCTGGGACCACAGGAGCATACAGCACAGTACTCAAAAATATATATATATAAAGGAGACAGGGTCTCACTATGCTACCCAAACTGGTCTCAGACTCCTGCCTCAGTATCCTCCCATCTCAGTCTTCTACATCTTTTTCTATATTTCATCTTCTTGTTTGCAAAGCCAAGTACAGTGCCTGGAACCTTTTGGAAGATTTGGGTATGCTGACAAACTAAATCGTAAGCAATTAATACCTGCGCAGAGAAAAGGGCCAGGAACTGCAAGGAGGCGGCTGGGCACAACACAAAACAGACTTCCTAACAGCAACACAACAGACTTCCTGAGGACAGCAGATGGGGAGAGCCTGGGATGGGGGAGCCCCCAAAGAAGGAAGCATCAGGGCCTGACGGGGAAGCCCAAGTAAGAAGAGAGGGAGGAAAAGGGACCTGAGGGAGGAAGGGGAAAGCCGCCCTATAGAAGAAGTCTCCTTAGATCCCTAAGCCCTGAGCTGTTTGGATAGAACCACCTCAAATTAATGTACCGCCATTCAATGGGGGAAAAAAAAAACAAAAAACGTGCTAAAACAACTGGATGTCAACACACAAAAGAATAAAATTGGCCTCTGACCTCACACAACTATGGAAATTAACTCAAAATAATCATGCTCTATATACAAAAGCTAAAACCATAAAACTCTTAAAAGAACATAGCAATAAATCTTTATGACCTCATATTTTCCAATGACTCCTTTTATGCCACCCAAATAAAAACAAATAGATTGGATTTTATCAAAATTAAAAACGTGGCTCGGCACCTGTAGCTGAAGCAGCTAGGGCACCAGCCACGTACATGGGAGCTGGCGGGTTCGAATCCAGCCCGGGCTTGCCAAACAACAAAGACAACTAGAACCAAAAAATAGCTGGGCGTTGTGGTGGGCACCTGTAGTCCCAGCTACTTGGGAGGCTGAGGCAAGAGAATCGGTTAAGCCCAAGAGTTTGAGGTTGCTGTGAGCTGTGAGGCCACAGCTGTGAGGCCACTCTGTCTAAAATAAAAATTAAAAAAAAAAAAAAATACCATACAAAATTAAAAACTTATGTTCAGCAAAAGAAATCATCAAGAAAGTAAAAAGACAACCTACTGAATGAGAGAAAATTTTTCCAAATTGTATGTCTGAGGAGGAGTTAAAATTCAGGATATATAAAAAAGTTTTACAACTCAAGAATAGAAAGAAAAATAATGCATCAAAAATAAGTAAAATTGGGTGGCGCCTGTGGCTCAAAGGAGTAGGGTGCCGGCCCCATGTACCAGAGGTGGCGGGTTCAAACCTGGCCCTGGCCAAAAACTGCAAAAAAAAAAGAAAAGTAAAATGTAGAATATACATAGAATGGAAAATTATTCAGCCAGAAAAAGGAATGAAATTCTGATACACACTGCAATATGGATGAACCTCCTTGAAAACATGAATATGAATTGTCTGGCATAAGCAAATTCAAAGAGACAAAAAGTGGATTAAAGGCTCCCAGCATCTGAGGCGAGGAAGGAATGGGAAGTCACTGTTTAGTGGGTACACAGCTGTTAAACGTAAAGAAAAAAGTTTTGAAATTCATGATGGTCACAAAATACTGTGAATATAATTAATGCCTCTGAACTCTACACTTAGGAATGATTAAAATGGCAATATTTATGACATACATCTTATAGTATTTTTTAAATTTTTTAAATCTAAACATTGTGTTTTAAGTAATTTTTGGTATATGCGAAAATCCAGAAAAACTACAATAATAATGTAATACATTTAAAGATGTCTATTTTTTCACCTGTATTATCAAATATTATATTTTCTTAACTATAAAGTATATTTTTTTTAAAAACTCAGTATTCCCAATTAAGCAGAAAGAAGGTATTCTATGGTGTAGAAAAACTACTATAACTGAAATAAAACATACTCCTGGTATTCTTGGGCAAAAAAAGGGTTGCCTCAAAAAAATACCATCAATAATGTTGACATTTAAAGACTTACCTCAAACTTAAACCATTCCGAGTTCCACTGAGGGTTGAGCGACTTGAGGTACACATCTGTTTTAAAGGTAGTATTACCAAATTTTACCTGCAACAAATAAGAAATGATTCAAACATAAATATGAAAAATGTGAATTAAAGTAAATTTTAATGTTAGCCAAGCAATGAGAGAGAAGGATTAACCATGGAGGGGGAAAAAAGACTGTCAACTTCAGAGACAGGGGGTAAAGGGTATTAGGGGTCCAGTAAGTTTGTAGAATACACCTGAAACAAGGGACCAATCACTGTTCTGCTTGACCAGCTCATGAAAAGCTAATTTCCACAATTTCTAAAAACCTCCTAAAGTAGTAAGAAAAAGACCAACAGCCCAATAGAAAAATGAGTAAAGGATGTGAACGGGTATGTCACAGAAACAGAATATACAGTGTCTTTAACCATATCAAAAGATGATCAACTTCATACAATAGAAATGCAAACTAAAACATTTTTATTTATCACTTTGGCAAGTATCAAAAGGTTTGAAAATAGTATTGGTGAGACACTGTGGGTGAGAGTGTAAACTAGAATAATCTTTATGGAAAACAATTTGATAACATATCAAAATTCTAAATCCCCATACCTTTAAAGCCAGAAATTCTATGATTTAGAATTTATCACACGGAAGTTTGCAATGACATACATCAGCAGCATTATACAAGCAAAAGATATATATCAAAATAACATATTCATCACTTTCGAACTAGTTAAATTAACCGTGATAAAGTAACACAAAGCAGCGCTCAACAGGAGAATGAAGCGACTCTCTGTGCACTGATGAAGAATAATAGCCAAGAGGCACCTTTCTACCCCAGAACAGTGCATATGGCATCCCAGGGGGACAACTTGAGGCTCTGTCTCAAAAAAAAAAAAAAAATACACATAAGTTTGTTTTTTTCTTTTTTCTTAAAGAACGAAAGGGAGAGTAGATGAATAAAAAGCAAAGAACTAACATCAATTATCTCTGAAGAAGGGATTGATAGAGGATAGCAGGGGTCCTCAAACTTTTTAAACAGGGGGCCAGCTCACTGTCCCTCAGACTGTTGGAGGGCCGGACGGCGGGCCCCGGGATGAGTCAGCTGCTAAGCAGGACAGGCAGCGAAGGGCCAGATAAGTCCTAGGCGGGCTGCTTGTGGCCCGTGGGCTATAGTTTGAGGATGCCTGGTGTAGGGAATACAGGACAGTGTAATAAAGAAGTAAGGCTTTCAAGTTATACTCCTGAGTATTCCAATCTTTTGAAATGGAAAGTATTCGTGTATTACTTGTGTTTTGTTCTGAACCACAATGTTAAATGAAACTTAATGACAGAAAACAAACAGTAGAATAGAGGTTCTTGCTCTTAGCTGTTTAATTTCTCTAAAACTGCTCTATTTAAAGCAAAATGCTGGGATTTATAAATAAATCAATTCAAAAACAATTATAAAACAATTCAAAAACCATTCAAACGGCAAATAGATTTAAAGGTTTGGGCTCAATTGCCAAAAACAACACATCAGTTTTCAGTTGTAAGTTCAGACGCTCTTCATTTTTGTCACACTAGAGCAGCTGTGCTATATATACTGTGCCCTTTGAGGGGTCAGCTGTCCATTCTAGCTATAGGAAAGATCAGATACCCTCCAAACCTCACTAAACAAACAAAAAACAGTATTTTAGAAAAAGAAAAAGGGCCAGTGTATTTTGGCAACATTGCAATGGCCTCCCCTGTAGTAAAGGAGAATCACAGTTCATTTAGTATTGGTTAAAGGAGGTTTTATTACTCAGCAATTCAATTAATGCCTTAGAACTCTGTTAAGGAACATCAGTGATTTTAATGAAGATTCCTCCAGTAAAGCAACCCCCATTCATTAGCTAAATTACTCAGAGAAAGTTATTTAACTTATTTAAAGCAGGACTGCAGAGGGCATCACCTGAGACAATGCATTTAAAGCTACCCAGCAAAACGGCTGGTACACAGAAAATACCCATTAAATACTCATTTCTTTTCTCCTCCCTATTCCTTCAATGACTCCTGGAAACACACAGAGTGACAACATAATTCAGCCAGTTTGTAACACAATCATTAATATTGAGATATATTTTCCTTAATACTTCCCTTATACAGAAGTATTATTCATCCTAGAGATTCTTACAAGAATAATTATCTTTTAAGTATTCGCCCTAGAGAGTCTTGCAAGAATAATTATCTTTTTTAAGCATTACTTGCTCTTCACTGCCTCCTTAAACTCATCACATCATATGCAGTAAAAATTCTCTCAACCAGAAAACACAGAGGATACCTCATGAATGTCACTCCCTGTCAACAGTGGACCCTTACTGAAGGACAAGTTTTAACCTTACCTTAAAAGAGAAAGGGATGCTTATGTTTTATCTTAGAATGTTTATGGGTTACATTATTTTTTATGATTCTTTGTTTTAGCCAAGCTATCGATTAACTGACCCAAGTACTGGTCCCATTTGCACTTTGTGTTTTTCCTTTCTCTTTTAAGGTAAGGTTAAGACTTGTCCTTCAGTAAGGGTCCACTGTTGACAGGGAGTACTGTATGCTTTTTACATAAACCACATTCATGAAGTATCCCCTGTGTTTTCTGGTTTGATGTAGTGACAGTACTTAAAATCACTTATAAAAAAATATGAACAAAGAATCTTATATTTTTCACAATCTTTTCTCCATCTAGTTCAATTTTTGTTGTTGTTGCTGTTGCAGTTTGGCCGGGGCTGGGTTTGAACTCACCACCCTGGGTATATGGCTGACACCCTACTCACTGAGCCACAGGCGCTGCCCTCAAGGGCAATTTTGAAGGGCAGTTTCTGTAAGTCTTTACACAGCATTATTAACTTCCTTTTCCCACTCATTTCATCAACTTATACTATAAGGTTTACATACATTAGAGTAACAAATATGGTTGACATATGCAGATTTGAAATAAAACTAAATGCCTCTTAGGTGAAGTGTATCAGCCAGCTAATGGGAGACTCCAGGCACACGAGAGTAGTCCGAGTCATAGGGGTATATGTGTTATGGGAGGAATACAGAGCACTGGGGACTGCAGCAAGTCAGCTAATGCAAGGTGGTTAAGAACATCAGCTACACAGACTTCTAATTTTCAAGCTGTTCAGTAATCTGTATCCTTCCTACCTAGCTAGATTTAATTCCCACTTCTATTCAACAAGAACCCTCCCTTTAATTACATGTGGTTTACCTGTCTTTTGCTTTTACAGTTTGTTCTATTCACCTTGGAGGCATCTCTTTTCTCCCTGCCTAGGGAAATGTTACCATTCTCTCAAGCCCAGCCAAAAGATTTCTCATGACTAGCACAAGCTTCATTATCTCTCTCTCCTGAGCTTATAATACTTAGTCTACACCAATTCACATCTATATGGAATTGTCCTTCATCATCCTTTTCCTGCTTTAATTTTCCTCTTTCTAACACACTATTCCTATTACTACACAAGTATGTTCTAGGATCTTCTAATTTACTTAAGTGCTAAAAGCTATATACTTCTCAAATACCACACAATTTTTTTTCTTTCCCCTTCACAGCCGTATTTCTTGAAGCAGTTGCTCCATGTGTTTCTACTTTCTCATTTCTGTCTAACTCTCTTTCAACTACAGGCTTCCATCCTCACTACGCCTCTTGTCAGGATTAGTAAAATACCCATGAGTGTTTAATCCAGGGACTTCTCTGTCCTTATACTTGACCTCTCTCAGTGCAATATGATAGTGGAGGGCTTCTTCTCTTCAGAAACTTCCCCCTCTTGCCTTCTAAGACATTACTTTCTCCATTTTCTCCCATCTACTGGCTCACAGTCTCAGTTCTCTCCCGCAGACCTCCTCTTTTTCTCTAATAGACTTCTTACTGTCAAGTTTTTTCAAGCTTCTATCCTCCTTCTCTCTTTCCCCCCTTAAGTCAGAGGTCTGCAGAAGGGACAAGAACCCATTCCCAAAAAGCTTTAAAAATTTCTAGCAGTGTTTCAGGGGGAAATAGTGGCATTATTTATAAGTAACATTAATTTATAGCATTTAGGTGATGAAGGGCCAGAGTTGCTAGGTATCCTATAATACAAGAGCGTACCCAACAACGCTCCCACGTTAAGACTTTAAAATGTCCCACCAAATAGTCATGTAAGAAATTTACCCTAACTCAGTTTTAGAGATAGAAGTATCACGATAGGATTTCAATATGCATTAATTGTCAAGAACTACACCCATCAAATAAATCCAGAGGTAAGCTTCTTCCTATGGGTTGACTATTTTGGGAAATCTGATAACCAATGGCAATGAAGATATGAGACACCAAAACCGCACGACTTTCTCACTGTATGTGAGGAGCAGTCACGTTCAGTGCATGATTTTACACAGGGTCAGGCACCATGCTATGTCCCAGCTTTATTTTCTCCACAGGAGGCACTTCTTGCTATCTAGCATACTTTTACTAAATTATCTTCTTGTTGAACTCTCTTCACCCACTAACATTTAAGTTCCAGGATTAAAGAAATTTTTGTTTTCTTCATTGCTGTATCCTCAGCATCTAGTACAGTATCTGATACATACTGAGACTCAAAAATACTGATCAACCCAATCTGTTAGTTCACGTTTTCCGCTGTGGTCATGAAGAAGTATTTCCATATTGAAATAATAACAAAAAAATACTTTTATTTCTAGTATATTAGGCCACTGTATTGATTTTTTTTTAATTATTGAGTATGGATAGGTTATATTGGCTAAAGAAGATCATTCCAGGATAGAAAAAGGTAGATTTCAAAATGCCTGTACACAGGGGGTGCTAGGTCTCACAGAGGTGAGAAACAATGGCCTGCATGAGCTCATTCTTAACTCAGACCTCTCTTGAATTCCAAAGTCACAAATCCAATTGCCTCCAATTAAAGGTCCTACAGACATTTCAAACCCAACAAGCTCCAGGGGAAATCAATTCTCCTCAATTTCTACCATCCCCTTGGAGTCTCAGAAAATTACTTGATGACTCCAGAAAGCTTGGAGTCATCTTTTAGTCTCCTTTCCCAGGTCCCCAAATCCAGTCTACCAACAAAACCTCTCTTGACATCTACCTTCAAAATATATCTGCAATTCATTTACTTCTCTCTGCCACCAAAACCATCATCTTAGCCCATACCACTTATGTGAACTGTAATAAAACTTCCTAACCAGCTGCCTGTTCCCACTCTTTCCCCTTCAATCCATTCACCACATAACAAAAGTGCTCATCTGAACTGCTTCCCATTGAACTTAAGAGTAAAATTCAAACTCCTAATCATGGCCTGTAAGGCCCTGCCCAATTGGCTGACTACCTCTCCATCTTCATCTCACACTACCCTCCCCTTCACTCACTACATACAGGCTGCCAAGTACATCTTCCTAAAATACACCACGTCTCTTCAGGGTCTTCCCTCTACTGACAAGCTCTTCAGCCTCTCTCTGCCTACCCTTGCCCCTACACACACACACTCCCTCAGCAGCTGGCTCTTTTCTCAGACAGCCGGTCTTGGGCTTGACTGACACTTTCTCAGAGGCCCCACCTGATGACTCAACCTAAAGATGTTCCCTATTAGTCACTTTCTATTGCTTTCTTTCGGGGCACTCATCGCTATTTGTAATCACGTATTTAATCATTTCTTTACTTTTTAAATGCCTGTCTCTCCCACTACCATATAAGCTCCATAAAAGTGAGAACCCTGTCCTTTTCACCATCTTTATACCTTGGTTAGATCAGTGACTAGAGCACAGAGCCCTGAAAATAGCAGACAATTTGTTGAAAGAAGGAGTCACTCTTGAATTCTGCCCCTTCCTCTCCAGCAAAATCCACTTAGTTATCAAAATCTGATGACTTTAACCTAAGAAATGTCTCTGAAACTTTCTCTGTTAATCCATTCCCATTCCCATTTATTGCTTGGATAATTTTACCACCTTCTTAAATGAGATCCCTGCCTCACTTCTCATCTATCCAGTCCATCAATAAAAGTACCCTTCCAATCATCCTATAAAGAAACGATTTAATAGACCTGAAAGTATAAACTAACCTTTGGGTATAAGTGTATCCCCATTACCTAACATCTAGTACAAGAGCACTTGGATTTTTCTCAAATGAAAATGGAATTTGGGATTAAAGATTCACGATGACAGTATGAGGGACGGTATTGGGGGGGAGGAGGAAGAACAGCAATTATTAAGTTAGAGAACCTTTAGGGAACAGCAAGAATACTTTTTTAGTAGAAATCAAGTTATATGTTACCATTTATCATCTCTAAGCATTAATAGCTCAAATGATTACTGCTCTAATGCTCTGGCTCATTACAATTTTTATGTGGCTTCTTTCAGGTTCTGTGTTATTACTTTCCCTTTCCGGGCCCTAGGCCTGTGCTAATTTGCATGACTTTTAAAGTAATCATTAGCAATTTTGCAATTTAAACCAATGGCACTTAATTGACTTCCTACCTCAAGGCACTAAATTACCCAGAAACAGCTCATCAGACCTACCAGTCTATACAAGAGCAGAAAGTGTTACAGTTGTGTTTTAGAATTTACACTGATGATTCAAACAATATTAGGCTTAAGGAAGAATCTCCTCCAATGGTAGGGCTCCACTGCCCATAAAGGATTGTGCGTACGTTCTTAAACATGATGTCCACCACTCGGGGTTCAAGAGTCACCCCCCTGGGTGTGTTTGTGTATGTAGGTGTGCGTTTCTGTGGCTGCGCGGCCACGCCCTGGGATCTCCTGACGGCAGGTGGCCCATTAATGAGTCCTGACATCAGGGTCACCCCGGCATGCAGAACAGCAAGAGTCTCCCGCGCGGCGGAGGGCGCCAGGGACGCCGGGCAGCCGTGCGCCCAACACATGGGCAGAGGTCTCAGCGGTCACCCCTCTTGGGAGAGCTGGCCGAGCACGGCAGGCTGGGAGGACAGTCGAAAGGGAAACGTGCGCGAGGGGCTGGGGGCAAGGTGGTAGATCCTTCACAGGGCTTGGCGCTCCCTGTGTTTTGAGGGGCAGGACCTTGCACCAACCTCCACGAAGGCATCAGTCAGGTCACTAGCACGGTCCATCACAGGCAAATGGCGCCCGGCCACGATTTTCACCTTCAGCTTCCCAGGCATCGTCTCGGCTTCGGCCTCTGGTTAAGCTCCTGCAGAAACAAACAAACGAGTCTGAGCCGCGCGCGGGGCCCGGCGGGGATGGGGCGCAGGCGCGCGGAGAGCGGCGCGCGCAGGCGGGAGCGCGCGGGGTAACTGACAGCGGAGGACGCGCGGGGGCTGGGGCGGCGGCGGCGGCGAGCGCGGACGCCGGGATGTGGCAGCGCGGCCGGCCACTCACTCTGAGTCCCGCAGGAGAAGAGGGGGTCGTCCCGCGCGGGGGCCGAGACCTCATTCCGGAGAGGCGGCCAGAGGAAGGGCCCAGGTGGATCCTTCTACTCTGGCCCCACCGTGCTGGAAAGAGCAGCCAAACCCAGGCGGCATCCCGTTGAGCGTCGGCCGCCAGCTGGTGTTTCTCCTCCCCCCAAGATGGCGGCTCTCGGGGCGTGGAGGAAGCATCGATCACTCGGCGCTCTGCCCACTTGGCGGGGGAGAAATTAAATTCCCCGAAACTGGATGAAGCCGGCGGAACTAACTTGGAGGAAGCTGGGGGACAGGGAAGTGGGTCGAGTCCTGCATCATCCACCTAGAGGGCGGTGGGTAGGTGCGGTGCTGCTGCCCGGCAGCCGGCCCGCTGGGGCCTTCGGAGCCGCGGGCGCAGCGTGTTGGAAGGGTTGTGACAGAAGCAGCCGAAGTGGGGATGTTTTCAGTCGGCCTTTAATGAGCCGTTATTGATTTATAAAACCCATTTACCTGGTTTTCTCCCCGGAAGGGGTACAGGTGCGTGTGAGGGTTTTTGTTTTCTACGAAATAATATGAGAAGTATGAGGGACATCTCGGATAATGGAATAAGTGTTATTTAGTGAATCTTTTGATCTATGCATTTTTTGAAATCCAGAGTCACTGGGGCCTTGAACTTTTAAACCGTCTCATTGTGCTTATTAAGCAACTACAAGCTTAAAGTTAAGAACTACCCTGCTAGCAGAGGTAGTTCAGGGTCTCCGACCATGGGAAAGTTTAATCAACCACAAGAAATGAATCCGAAGAGCATTAAACGTCCTTAAGAATTGACCCAGATGTATATGAGTAAAAGTGCTAAAAGGAGGCATTATCTATAAGCTCAGACTATCTGAAAAGGATTAGGGAAATTAAAGTAAACAAAGGACGTAACATAAAGCACTCCAAACCAAATTTAAAGACCAGCATTAACAATACGTAGTATACCCATACCAAATGCCAAAATCAGCGTTAACAATGCGGGTGGAAAGATTGTAACCCTGGAATCGTCAGGAATGAAAAATTTCCAAGTGAAGCTACCAGTATGATATCAATAGGGTAGAGTACTTACTCCAAGCAAAGTAGTGCAGAATTACCTTTTCAGGGCAAAAATTCCTTTTATAGAAGGAATAGTGTTCACAGATGTAAGAGTAAAGGAAACCATAATCAAAAGAACGAGGAAATGACGTCCTCAAAATAAAAATCTAAAAAGATAAATTGCTGGCTTTTTTAACTAGAGAAACCATTATCTGTTCAAACTATGTCAAAAAGATAAGAGGCCATAGTTCCCATGCAAATTTCCACCTGCAGCCTTTTCTGGCGTCTGACCTTTCCCTTAAAATGCCCTGGCCAAATTCTGAAGATTGGCTACATTATGTGATCAGTGTTTTTTGTTGTATCGGTGGTAGGATTGAAATAGCATTTTCTAGTGAAAGTATTAACAGCTCAGCGCTGGTAGCACGGTGGTTATGGCGCTAGCCACATACACCGAGGCTGGTGGGTTTGAAACCCGCCCGGGGCCAGCTAAACAACAATGACAACTGCAACAACAAAATAGCCGGGCATTCTGGCAGGCACCTGTAGTCCCAGCTACTTGGGAGGCTGAGGCAAGAGAATCGCTTAAACCCACCAGTCTGTGGTTGCTGTGAGCTGTGACACCATAGCACTCTATCAAGGGAGACATAGTGAGACACTGTCTAAAAATAAATAAATAAATAAATGAAGAAAGAAAGAAATTAAAGTATTAGCACTTTACCAGTTTGGTTTTTTAAATATAGAAATGTAAAAAGAAAAACTAGTAAAAAAAAAAAAAAAATTTCCCATTAATCTTAATGAAAGCTAATGCAGTGTGTTACAAGATGTTGTAATGTAGAAAATATTTGCAAATTGCACAATTAGAGGTTAGCACTCAGCTTCCTAATTAGTAGACTGTAAGGTACTTGTACATACCTGTTGCCCTAGGCTTCATCAAAAGGAGATTATAATTAAGATGCTTCCTGAAGGCTATTTTTAGTAGAATTAAGCTTAATTTTAGTTTAACTATTTCCTATTAATTGTACTAGTTTGTTTTAATTAATGCTGGGAACAGTGCTGAATTTCCTGAAAAAAAGAATCTTCTGACTCCTAATTACCTTATCCTGCCCTTCCCTTTTTTTTTTTGCAAATTCTACAGTGATGACAGGAGTTGATATATTGTTTGCTGTGTGCCATCTACTGAATTCTGTGCTTCACAGCTTTTAAGCCTCTCTAAAATCTTATGAGATAGAAATTATCAGCCTTCATATTATGGATAAGGAAACTGTGGCTTTACAAAGCTGTGGTGATTACCTAAGATCACAGAGCTGATAATGATGGAGTCAGGATTTAAATTTAGGCAATGTGATTCCAAGAACCCAGGCTCTTTACAGGCTACATTAGAATATCTTAGGCATAGTCATCTTAGTAGACACTTATGAATTAATAACTCAGTTCCAAAGTCACTTCTACATCTTCTCTGATCTCCTTCCTAATAAACCTCCACTCTCCACTGTCAGCTATAGGACTACTAAATCTAATACATTTATTATTCTGCTTTCATACGGTAATTATTTATCTTTCTCTCCCCTGCTAAAGTTTGAGGACCTTAAGGGAAAAGATAAAGTTTGAGGACCTTCAGGGAAAAGATTATTTCTCATTTATCTCTCATTTCTCAGTTCTTTGACCTGTGTCCTTCATTCAATCAACAAATACGCGTAGAATTAGGCTCAGTAACAGTTACCACCCATACTGTCACTTCTTTGCTCTCTCTTCTTTCTGGTTTCCTAACACATTCCTTCTGATCTTTCTCTAGTCTTGCTAAACTGCTCACGGGGGTCTGTACTTGCTGCTCTCTCCTCACCTCCTAGGCACTCCCAAACCTATTTATATCTGTATTTAGCTACCATCACTCTACAAAAACAGCTTTCATTAAATCATCAACAATCCCCAGTTGCTACATCCAGTGGACATTTTTCAGTTTTCATGTCACATGACTCAGTAGCATTTGACACTGTCAACCATGCTCCTTTTTTTTTTGCAGTTTGGCTGGGGCTGGGTTGGAACCCATCACCTCCAGCATATGGGGCCAGCGCCCTACTCCTTGAGCCACAGGCACCGCCCAACCACGCTCCTTAAAATACACTTCCTCTTGGTATTTGGATAGCGTGCTTCTCTTCCCTATTCTGGTGTTTACATCTGTCTTCTCAGCCTCTTCATTGTCCTTACCTATTAAATATGTGTCATTCTCAGGTTCAGTTTTTGGCCCTATTCTCTTCCAGCTGTACTCTCTCCCTATAGGTGATCTCATCTGTGTTCACAATTTCAGTGTCCATCTGTTTAGCCAAGGACTCTCAAGTTTTTGTCTTTAGCTTCTTTTTTCTGGGATCATGACCATACATGTAATTCTGTAGTTCCTATTTCCATTTGGAGTATCAAAGTGACCTCAAAGTTAAAATATCCAAAACTGATCCAATTTTTCTATCTTCCCCATAACTACAACAACAGCAAACACAACCACAGCAAAAATACTAACCTTTTCTGCTGTTTTCTCCATCTCAAACCGTGGCAACACCAAGGACGTAATCAGTTGAAGCAGAAGCTCACTGATTTAAGTTTTAAGGTAGATACAAATGATGTCCTGGACTTAACTTCAGTTACTTTTGCTTTGATTTACTTCTAAAGCAGTAAATTAGCTGTATTAAAAATGTAGGAAGTAGGCAGCTGGATAGATGCATTTTCCCACTGGTTTTCTTCTAGCTCGTGAAGGCATGCCTGATGTACTGTGGGGATAAAGGCCACACTGAATAACATATCCTTCAGACTAGAAGCTAACAGAACACATTGCTTTGTATCATCAGTGCACTCAGTGAGCAATGGCACCCAAGTATACTGGGCAGGTACTTTCTTACTGTGCCAGCACCAAGACAAGCTTCCCTTATTTTGCACCTGTGCTGCAAAATGTGAAGACTTTCCGTGTATGTCTACTTAAAGGCTTCGTGGAAGGCTAACCACAAAGATAACTATCTTTAACTCTGACTCCTCTTCAGCCCTGACACCCAAGTAATCACCAAATCCTTTTGTTTATACATCTCAACGATCTCTCAAATTCATCTATTTTCCACCATTATCTATCACCAGAAGATTAATAGCCCTGCTACCAATTCTTGCTTTTTTTTTGTAATGCATTCACCACAAAGTAGCCCAAGCAAGCTTTTTTAAAAAGCAAATTTGAATAAATATTAAAGGTGATGAATATCCCAATTACTCTGATTTGATTATAGGTATCAAATTATCACTTGTACACCAGAAATATACACATCTACTATGTGTCAATCAAAATGTGTTTTTAAAAATAATAGCAAACTTGTAGCACTCTGTTCTAGGAGAATTTTTTGCTGAAGACCAGGGGATTCACCTTTATTCTTGTCTGATCTTTTCTTTATATGAAAGTACTTAAAATGTTTAGAATTTCGATCGGATTCAGTGGCTCCTACCTGTAATTGTAGCACTTGGGAGGCTGACGTAGGAGAATAGCTTAAGGCCAGAAGTTTGAGACCATCCTAAGCAAGAATGAGATCCATCTGTACAAAAAATAGAAATATTAGCTGAGCATGATGGTGCACATCTGTAGTCCCAGCTACTGGGGAGGCTGAGGCAGGAAGATCACTGAGTCCAGGAGTTTGAGGCTGCAGTGAGCATTGATGACACCACTGCCCTCCAGCACGGGAGACAAAGCAAGAACCTGTCTCAAAAAAATAACCCTGAAAGTTCAGAAAGTCAAGAGACATACCAGTCAGAGTCAGTTTTTTCTTTCATGTTTGCCTCTTTGAATTTCTTTAATGGCTTCTCACCTTGTGTTAACTTTTCTCCTACTGCTAAATCATTCCATTTTATTTTAACACTGTCTACAAACGGAAGAAAGTTCCAGTTTACCCAATATGTATAATTAACCCAACATTGTACATATATCCTCTTACACTTTTCCTTTGCCAATTAAGGAGTACTAATAATTAGAGTTTTTATAGTCCTATAGGTCATTATCTTCACAGAGGCACTAATTATAACATCAATTAGATTAAGTTGACACATACTTTCTAAACTCATTTGTTAACTTCCAGTCTTTTCCTGTTAGAAGAGCCACCTAATAATGCAGCAGTCCCCAGTCTTTTTG